TGCATGTGCACACATATACATATGTGTGTGTGTGTGTATGTGTGTGTATTAAATATTTATTAAAAAAAATACATAAAGTTTTTGTTTATAACTTTTTTTGTATATAACTAAGTTTCTCTCTGTATGTATATATATATATATATATATACTTTAATGTGCATATATAAAATAATGTATTGAATCTTATTGTGCTCACAAAAAATAATGTAATAATATTAATTATCATGAGCTAATAATGAACAACAGTTTTTTTGCAGCATTCTTAAATAAGGTTAATGTTAGGTTATACATTTATTGTAGTTCACTGTCATTCAAGTTTGTTCTTAACAAAATAATGTTAAAAAAAAATTTAAATGTTAAATAATATATATATGCATGTGTTTGTGTGTGTTATACTAACTTAACTAAATTAAATTTACAAAAACAACTAACAAAGAATAAATTAAAAAATATTTATATTAATTTTCACTACTTTTATTGTATTTTAAAACAGATTTATACTGCCTTTCGTCATCATTATTAAGACTAAAATGCTGGTTGATGCTATTTCATGGTTATTTCATTATTATATATATGTTTTTTTGTTTTTTTTTTCTACATAGAAATTTAATTGTAAAGCCTTTTTTCTTTTCTTTATTTTGATCTTATGTTTTCATAAGTATGCAGTAAATAACCGTTTTTGCAGGAAAGACTTTGACCTGAGGCAACATTTTCACAGTTACACACACATGCACACTAAAGTGGAATGTGCACATTTAATGCTAAAGTATTTTATTTTCCCTCATTATATATTCCAGACTTATACCCAAAAATCTTTGAGGTTGTTAAAATGATATCAGTGTAGCGGTAAAGAAAAACAAACCCTCATCAGCGTGTGTTTTTGTGTTAATGATAAGTTCAGCTGTGCTTCGTCAAGCTTCCCCGCACTGCACTTTTTTCATCTGTCTCTGAATGGAGAGTGTCGGGACAGGAACATCCATGAATATTCAGCAGATATCCCAGTACCGGCCCCTGAGGCACTCCGACATGGTGTAGAAATTGATTTCACAGTAGCCAGAGAAAGCCGGAGTGTGTCTTAAATGTGCAATGATTAAAATCCCGTCCGGCTCAATCAAGGCCCCGGTACTTCACGACCCCAGCAGCCGTTCTCCAATTTACACCTCTTAATTGTGTCGCTGTACCGCTGGGGCTCAGCGTGAGGGTTTAGAAGGGCCCGGGTGCGGAATGATTAAATCTTTTGTGATGAAGGTGATCTGGGATCTCCCGAGGGATCCGGTGCTGACACACGTCCCCACCCAGATCACTGACAGCTGGGCTTAGCGCTGTCAGACAGACCCCTGTGGAGAACGCAGTGAACACGGGCCTGTATTGATCAAGGCCTGAGTAATCTTTGATTGCTCGCCAACTTTACAAAAACATCTGGATTTGTAGCGGTCATTCTATTGATTCCTGGCTTCATTTAATAGTGCTCTGCATGCAAAGTAATGGCATGTGTCTTAATTATGTGGATGTTAATGAACTTAAGTGATAATTAAATATTGAAAAGATCTCAATTAATGGGATGAACCATCTCTCTGTACTATATTATTAGCTTTGTTTTAGAAATCCCCCTGCCTGTACGTATATGCGTAAAGTCAGGATTTTATCAACAGAGAACAACTTTATGGTTTATTGAAGTTATTAAAGAAGTTATCAAAAATTCAGTATAATTTAGAGTCATATGTCATTCTCATACTGTCGAATTTTCTTTCAAGGAGGTTTATAGTGGTTGCTCTTTACCATTCAGTTGTAGTGAATCAAGTACTGAGGCTTTCAGACTTCATAAAGGACACTAAAGCACCATAAAAGTAGTCCATATATGAAGTTATATGATGAATTTGTATGCAGAACAGACTGAAATTGAAACCTTATTCACTGAATAAGCTCAACAAACCACCCAGTTCACTAAACCCGAAAGATTTGTTCATTCGTTTAACTAATTTACTCAGTGATCTGATCTCAGTGGTTAACAGATCACTGGACATACACTATCATTCAAAAGTTTGAGGTCAATAAAAATTAGTTTTTTTTAAAGAAATGTATACTTTTATTCAGCAAGAATGTATTAAATTGATCAAAAGTGACAGTAAAGACATTTTTAATGTTATAAAAGATTTATGTTTTAAATAAAGGCTGTTCATTTTCTATTCATCAAAGAATCACGAAAGAAAAGTATCACGGTTTCCACCAAAATATTATAATAAGAAATGTTTCTTGAGCAGCAAATCAGCATAGTAAGATTTCTGAAGGATCGTGTGACACTGAAGACTGGAATAATGATGCTGAAAATTCAGCTTTGACATCTCAGGAATAAAGTACATTTTAAAATATATATTCAAATAGAAAACTTTTTTTTATTTGTGGTCATATTTTACAATATTATTGTTTTTACAGTTTTTACTGTGCCTTGGTGAGCATGAGACTTATTTCAAATAATAATAATAATAATAATAAATCTAACCAACCCCAAACTTTTGAACAGCACTGTAAATTTAGTCCTGTTCATCACTCAATGAATGCTATTAAATATTATATTACTTACAATCTGACATGTGACTACTTTTATATTATTTGATATCTTTATGGTATTATTTACTACTTTGTGTGGTGCTTTTGCATCCTTTTTGAGTCTTGACTGCTTACGTTATTCATTGTAACAGCAGAGAGAAGTGTGAGCAGCATATTATTTAGATTCCTTCTTTTGTGTTCCACAGAAGAGAGGCAAATGTGTTTAGAACATGAGCACAAGTAAATGATCACACAATTTTCAATTTTGGATAAACTAATCCTTTAAACCATTGAAACACACACACACACCCGCTCCGAAAGCAATGTTTAATCCATCTGGAAACATAATGTTGATCCCCCCGGCTAATAATTACCGTTTTGCTTCCTCACTGCACAAATCAAGCCAATTACACCACAGGCCCCGTTTTCCTTACGCTTGAATTGTGTACAAATATACGCGAGTCTTCAAGCGTGATGCTACAGACCCAGGAGGCCGAGCAGTTTAATGATTCTACCTGTTATTTCTCAAATGATCTGCTTTGGAAATTGCAGCAGTGGACCTTATAATAGGCAAAATGTAGATGTGAAAGGGATGGGGGATGTATTCCACACTGTTCATATCACATCTCGATTGATGTGTTTGTTTAGAGGCAGATTTTAAATGAGTTTTCTGAGAGTCCTTTCATGGCAGTTCAGCGAGCCGTCCAGCTGGTGCTGAGGTACCACAGGTGTCTTTAAATGACCTCATATCACCTCTTCCCTCCCTCTCATCCATCATGTGACAGTGTGTGGGGGTCCTGCCGGTGATCATTTGGAGGGGACGCCTCCTGAAGCAGATGTTCTCCTGGCCTGCTTTATTGTGCTTTCCTCACATCGGTTATATTGTCTGTGTTTCTTACTGGATTAGAAACAGATTGATTGGTTTTGGTTCATCGCAAGATTCAGCTAATGCAAAACAAGTTGCTTTTATAGCGGTTTAATAAATCATTAATTGTATCTAAATGGATCCAAAAGTAAGAGACAACTAGTGAGAATGCTTATATTTTTTCCCATTTATCTTTTCATTAAAAAAAAAAAATAATTTCTTTATAATTTATTATTATTATTACTATTATTATTGTTTTGTATTTCAAAATCCTAAAAGCCTAAGACTAATGAGAATGCTTTTATTTTTTTCCTATTCGTGTTTTTAATTTATTTTATGAAATTATTTAAATTTTTGTTTTCTCTATTATTATCATCATTTTATATTTAAAAATCCTAACAGTCTAAGACCACTAATGAGAATCTTATATTTTGCTTCTATTTATCTATCTATGTTTTTTTTCTTCTATGTTTGTTTTTAACGTATTTTTATTTCTCTTAATATTCAAAATCCTAAAAGTATACATCCTAAAAGTCTATGCTTCTGTATTTTCTATTTTATTTTATTTGAACTATTTTAAACTATTGTTTGTCATCTATTATTATTATTATTATTTATTTATTTTGCATTTAAAATTAAAATTCTGTTATAGCTATCATCATCATCATCATCATCATCATTTTATATTTAAAAATCCTAACAGTCCACTAATGATAATCTTTTATTTTGCTTCTATTTATCTATCTGTATGCATATTTTTTCTATTTTTGTTTTTAACTTATTTTTTATTTCTCTTAATATTAAAAATCCTAAAAGTAAAAATCCTGAAAGTCTATGCTTCTGTATTTTCTGTTTGAGTTTTTTTAAACTAATTAAAAAATTTGGTTAATTTTTTGTCATATAATATTCTTATTCTTATTGTTAATTTTATATTTTGAAAGCCTTGAGACAAAATCCTAAAAGTCTGGTTAGAACACCTCCTATATTAAAATCCTATATTAATTTTTATATGTATTTTTTCTGCTGTATGTCTCGTGTTGTTGTGCTGATGTTTACTGCTGGATAATGTGTGTGTGTGTGTGTGTTTCCTGTGCTCATTTGCAGGTGATTACCCAGCTCCCCGTGCGGTTCTGACCGGTCATGACTATGAGGTGGTGTGTGTGTCAGTGTGTGCTGAGCTGGGAATTGTAATCAGTGGAGCAAAAGGTGAGTGAGAGAGGAGCATTGTGGGATATGAAGTGAAGAGGCAGTGTGTGATTCCACTAGAGCGTCTCTTATCAGACATGTCTGTTTGTCAGAGGGGCCGTGTCTGGTCCACACCATCACTGGGGATCTTCTGAGGGCTCTGGAGGGCCCCGACAGCTGTGTGCTTCCCCGCCTGATCTCAGTGTCCAGTGAGGGTCACTGCATCATCTACTACGACAGGGGTCAGTTCTGCAACTTCAGCATCAACGGCAAGCTGCTGGCCCAGATGGAGATCAACGACTCCACACGGGTATGTTCTCAACTCTGTGCTTGGCCACACACTTCCTGTCTGTTGGATTGGATTTCTATAGCAATGCCTCAGTTTTCTCATTTCTATAGCTGCCCTATAGTTTGTTGAGTAAAAAGATGAATTCTTAAAGTGAATTCTACTTCATTTTTCACTTTTCAACATTATAAAATTGTACACAGTAATTTAAATTCATAATGTTTTGGGGTAAAATAAATAAGTAGTCTTGTAGTTTGATATAGATACTTTATTATTATTATTTAATATATTAATATATCTCTATTTAATTTTTTATTATTTTAAATATTAGATTATTTATATTTATGTGTTTATATATTTTAGAATAATAATAGCATAGTATTTTAATAATTTGGAAGCATATAAATTGTGTAATATAATGTAAAAAATAATATTTTGTAATATAATGTAAAATTATAATTATATTTAATAGATTAAATAAGTAATAACAATAGTAATATTTCATTTTATTTATCATTTTAATATTTCATTTAATATATATATATATATTATTTATCTATTTCATTTTTTATTGTTTTAAAAATTACATTATATTTATGTGCTTATATATTATTTTATAATAATAACAGCATAGTTTTAAAATAATTTGGAAGCATATATAAATTTTGTAATATAATGTAAAAAATAATATTTTGTATTATAATGTAACATTATAATTATATTTAATACATTTAATAAGTAATAACAATAGTTATATTTCATTAATATTATTTTTATTATACTTATTATTATATTTAGCATTTTTTAAAGCATCAGGGTTGGTAAGATTTTGTAATGTAATTTTTTTTTTTTTAAGTCTCTTATGTTTGCCAAGGCTGCATTAATTTGATCAAAAATACAGTAAAAACAGTAGTATTGTGAAATATTATTTCTTCTTATTATCAATGTTGAAAACAAATGCGCTGCTTAATTTTTTTGTGGAAATTTTGATACTTTTTCAGTATGCTTGCTGAATAGAAAGTTCAAAAGAGCAGCAATTATTTGAAGTACTAATCTTTTCTAACATTATAAATGTCTTTTTACTGCAATTATTCATTGGTTTAATGTGTCCTTGATGAATAAATGTATAACTTTCATTCTTTCTTTCTTTCAAAAAAAAAAAAATGCCCCCAAACTTTTGAATGGTAGAGTAGGTTGCTAACGTTGAGAATACAGTACTCTGACTTTCCTGAGCTGTATTTCCTGTATTTCCTCAGGCCATCCTCCTGAGCAGTGATGGGCAGAATCTAGTGACTGGAGGAGATAACGGGGTGGTGGAGGTCTGGCAGGCCTGTGAATTCAAACAGCTGTACGTCTACCCCGGCTGTGACGCCGGCATCCGAGCCATGGACCTGTCACACGATCAGAGGTCAAACTCAAGTTTACACTTTCACCACGCAGAGACAAACTGTACAAACAAATCCTAAACTGGTTTAAACCTGACTCCGTTTTCCATGTTTCCAGGACTCTGATCACAGGCATGGCGTCTGGCAGCATCGTGGCGTTCAACATTGATTTTAACCGCTGGCACTTTGAGCATCAGAACAGGTACTGAGAGCGATCAGCCAGTGACGGCCAGCTGCAGCCTCGGGCGGTAACGTGCCATTACGGGAGGTGATGTAGCAACTGAAGATATGGAATATGGATCAAGAAATGACACAATGCTAGTTGGAGAAGTGCAGTAACCTACACTGAGATCCAGCTGCTTGAGCAAAAGTATACATGTCTCAGAAATGCACAGGAGCAATTGACAGATGACAGTGGAGAGAGCACAGAGCACAGATGGAGGCCAGTTTTTCATCACAAATTATTTGATCTAATTGTCATCTGAGCCAACAATAGTCTTGTCAAAAACAGCCTTTTTACTCGTACTCCCGTCATTTTAACTGTAACCGTGACACTTTGCATAGAGAACCAATAACGATATTTTGACGAGGTTTATTTTCTACTGGCTTGCAGCATATTTCACTTTCTCTAGGTTTTTTTTCTACAGGCCCTTGGGAAAGAAAAGCTATCTGAACAATAAATAAGTAAAAGTCCTCCCTCTGATGCTGAGCTCATGTATGTAAATGCTATACAATTTATTTTAAACGTACTATTCTGCAATTGAATTCTGTTTGTCCCGTGTTTATGCATTTTGACATCATCAAATATTTTTTATGATTGCAAAGAAAAAAAGAAAAGATGCTTTTTGTTTAATGTGACGTCCTGTAATGTTCGTTCAGACATTCTCCTCGTGAGGATGAATGGTTTGTCTGGTGTGTATGTATTTTATTTCAGATGTATCTGGAATTCTTGCTGTATGCAGCATTAAAGACATCTTTTTGGTCAAGCTCTAAATGGGGGTCGATGCTGATGCTAACTTTGCGACGTCTGGGCAAATATCATTGTAATTCTTGTGCAGTTTTATCATTTAAAGTTATACATGGTTTTACACATGTGAAAAGACAATGGTGAGGTTTTTTTAGACTGGTATTTGCACCTATAACTGGTTTTTATTTTGAATATTTTCATATTTGCTTACACCAAGCTTTGTACATCTCAAAAAAACATTTTTTTTGGGTTTTCACATGTCAGAATATTAGTATGAATGGTGTGCATTAATTATTATTTGTTATATTCCTTTACTGTCTTAAATTGTTCTACTGGCACCTTTCAGAATTGCACTTGAAATCAGAAAATAACATTGTAAAATCACTGCGGTAAGCAATACATTATGTATGATGTATGTGCATCTTTGATTCTCTTACATAATGTAAATCAAATCTATAACTCAGAGTTTATGAATCAAAAAAATCTAAACTATTTTTAATTGTTTTTGTGCAAATATGTGAAATATTCTGCTGTAAGAAGCAATTTTTTTTTTGCCAATCCACACAATAAATATGGTGCCATAATTAACATTTTATTTACAAGAATAGATTTAGATTTGATATACTGAGCATTGGTTATTTGTAAAACCTTAAAAATGAGTTTACCTTAGTGTCATATGTTAAAATGCCTCAGATTTCAAATGATTTACTTGATGAGAATAGTTTCCATCAGAAACATTGACATTGCAAGTGAAGGTGCCTGCTAATTCAGCAGCTATGCTTAAGTTGGTTACTTTTTAGTTAAAACTGTTCAGTATGTCCTAGTGAATCATTGTGATGAGAGAAATGTATTTGCCTACTTTTTATTTATAATAAAAAATATCAAATGTACTGCATTGAGTACTGCTCCCTTGCATCAGTGCATACAAACACACTACATGTGCATTTGAGAACAGCAATACTTTCCGTCATTTAATCTGCTTGATTAGGACTTCTTTACATTCATGTGCCTCATAAGCTTTTTGGACAGTCACGGAAACACCGCACCTTGCCGTTTTATCATTTGAGGGGAAAATATCAAATGGTGACAGAAACAGGGAAACATGCATAACAATGAGAATCTCCTATACTAAATATCATTCTCAGTAAATTGAAACTGACCTTAAAAAATAAAAACACGGGTTTCTGCTTGAGGAATCATTTATTCACAGGTTTGGCTTGTTGCTGAATGCACCACTGCTGTAAGAAGCTTTTTTTTTTTTTTTGCCAATCCACATTCAATAAATATGCCATACTTAACATTTTATTTACAATAATAGATTTAGATTTGATATAATGAGCAATGGTTCTTTTTAAAACCTTAAAAATGAGTTTACCTTAATGTCATATTTATGTTAAAATGCCTCAGATTTCAAATGATTTACTTGATGAGAATAGTTTCCATCAGAAACATTGACATTGCAAGTGAAGGTGCCTGCTAATTCAGCAGATGTGTTTAAGTTGATTACTTTTTAGTTAAAACTGTTCAGTATGTCCTATTGAATCATTGTGATGAGAGAACTGTATTTGCTTACTTTCTATTTATAATAAAAAAAATGATCAAATGTACTGCACTGAGTAGCTACAAATGACAAATGGAGCTTATATATATATATATATACACACACACACACACACACACACACACACTCAATATATATATAAGCCAAGACTACATACAGTATATATATAATAAAAAAATAACATGATTAACTTAAAAAGTATAATTTAATTTGCATAGTGCATATGTGACCCTAGACCACAAAACCAGTCATAAGTAGCACGGGTATATTTGTAGCAAAACCCAACAATACATTGTATGGGTCAAAATTATAGATTTTTCTTTTATGCCAAAAATCATTAGGATATTAAGTAAAGATCATGTTC